TTTTGGTTGTTGTTTTTGTGTTTGTGTTTGTTTTTGTTTTTGTTCTTGTTCTTGTTATTTTTTGTTCTTGTTCTTTGTTGTTTTTGTTTTTTTGTTTTTGTTTTTTTGTTTTTGTTGTTGTTTTTGTTTTTGTTTTTGTTTTTGTTTTTGTTTTTGTGTTTGTTGTTTTTGTTGTTGTTGCTGTTGTTGTAGATTATCAGTATCATTATTCTTATTATCAGTAATATTACTACCAGTAGAGCCGGCGAAGCCGGTGGGCGGAAGTTTCAAAAATATAAAAACTATAGTTCTCTGTCTTTTCTTGCTTCTTTTTCTCCGTCATTCTTCCTTTCTTCCTTTCTTTCCTTCCTTCCTCCCTTCTTTCCTTCTTTCTATCTGTCTTTTCTTTCTTTCTTTCGTTTGCTTGTCGATCTATCTTTCTCTACCTATCCATACCTAACTACCTATCTATCTATCTCTCGTGTTATCTATCTATCTGCTTATCTATCTATCTATCTATCTCTCTATCTATCTTCTCTATCTATCTCTCTATCTCTCTATCTCTCTATCTCTCCATCTCTCCATATCCCTCTATCTCTGTCTCTCTCTTTCTCTATCTGTCTATCTATCTATCTCTCTATCTCTCTTTCTTTCTATCTTTCTATCTCTCTATCTCTCTTTCTTTCTATCTATCTATCCATCTATCTCTCCATCTATCTCCCGCGTGTCTATCCATCTATCTATCTATCTGTCTCTCTATCTGTCTATCTCTCTATCTATCTATCTCTATATCTCTCTAGTATCCCTCTGTCTACCCATCTGTCTATCTCTCTATCTATCTGTCTATCTATCTCTCTATCTCATTATCTCACGTGTATTTATCCATCTCTATCTATCTATCTATATTTCTAATTATCTATAGATCTACTTATCTATCCATCTCTCTATCTTCCTCTCTATCTCATTCTCTCTACCTATCTATCTATCTATCTACCTTTATCTATCTATCTATCTATCTATTTCTCTATCTATCTACCTACCTATGTATCTCTCTATCTCTGTTTCTATCTATTTATCTCTCTCTCTATCTATCTATCTAGTCTATTTATCTATCTATCTTGCTCTCTCTCTCTCTCTCTCTGTGTCTCTCTCTATCTATCTCTCTATCTCTTTCTATCTTGACTTCGCGGGCGTACTACTTTCGGACTTAAAAGTTGCGATTTTCGAGCCCCAGCTGCAAAAGTTGACTTCGCGTACTACTTTCGGACTTAAAAGTTGCGATTTTCGAACCCCGGCTGCGAAAGTTGACCTTGCAAAAGTGCTGCGCCTGCCACGAAATCTGTACTTGACCTTGCGAAAGTGCTGCGCCTGCCACGAAATCTGTACTTGACCTTGCGAAAGCGCTGCGCCTGCCACGAAATCTGTACTCGACCTTGCGAAAGTGATGCGCCTGCCACGAATTTTGCACTTGACCTTGCGAAAGTGCTGCACCCGCCACGAATTCTGTACTTGACCTTGCGAAGCTGATGTGCCTCCCAGGAATTTTGCACTTGACCTTGCGAAAGTGCTGCACCTGCCACGAAATATGTACATAACCTTGTGAAAGTGCTGCGCCTGCCACGAAATCTGTACTCGACCTTGCGAAAGTGCTGCGCCTGCCACGAAACCTGCACTTGACCTTGCGAAAGTGCTGCGCCTGCCACGAAATCTGTACTTGACCTTGCGAAAGTGCTGCGCCTGCCATGAAATCTGCACCTGACCTTTCGAAAGTGCTGCGCCTGCCCCGCAATTCAATCCTTCGGAAAACTTGACCTTGCGAAAGTGCTGCGCCTGCCACGAAATCTGTACCTGACCTTTCGAAAGTGCTGCGCCTGCCACGCCATTCAAACCTTGGGAAAACTTGACCTTGCGAAAGTGCTGCGCCTGCCACAAAATCTGAACCTGACCTTGCGAAAGTGCTGCGCCTGCCACGCAATTCAAACCTGGCGAAACCTTCGCGTTGCCGTGCCAATGGGCCCGCGCTCCGAGCATGGTCCGAACGCGCTCCGAACGTGGTTCCGACCAGGCGCCGCGAACAGGCTAGCTTTCGGCTCTCCGGAGACACCAATTCACGCACAGGGCCACGCTTTTTGCAGATTCCTTATTCCCACCACACGCGCACGCATACCTCACCTTTCGAAAGTGCTGCGCCTGTCACGCAATTCAAACCTTGGGAAAACTTGACCTTGCGAAAGCGCTGCGCCTGCCACGAACTCTGCACCTGACCTTTCGAAATTGCTGCGCCTGCCGCGCAATTCAAACCTTGGGAAAACTTGCCCTTGCGAAAGTGCTGCGCCTGCCACGAAATCTGCACCTCACCTTGCGAAAGTGCTGCGCCTGCCACTCAATTCAACCCTTGCGAAACCTCCGCGTTGCCGCGCCAATGGGCCCGCGCTCCGAGCACGGTCCGAGACTGCGCGAGCCCGCTCCGAGCCCGCTCCGAACGCTCTCCGACGCGCTTCGACCAGGCGCCGCGAACAGGCTAGCTTCCAGCTCTCCGGAGACACCAATTCACGCACGGGCTCCCACCACACGCGCGCGCATATTTTCTCGCGTGCTTATTCCTTCTCTTCCTCTGTCTCAGCGAGAGCTGGCTTTCAATTAGTTGCCGTAACACGGAAGTTCCTTCTAAACGTCCTTTGATTATTGTATTTTTAGCTTATTAACATGTTCTATTTTGATTAGGAATTGTATTAGTAGTATTTTCATTATTGTGTACTATTATTATGACTTTTGTTGGCATGGTTGTTCTTATTGTTATCATTATCATTACTATTATCATCACTATTACTATCACTATCATTAGTAGTACTGTCATTATCATTAATATGATTATTATTGTCATTGTTATTAGTCGTAGTAGTAGTTGTGGTAGTAGTAGTAGTAGTAGTAGCAAAAGAAGTAGTGGTACTATGATTCTGTATGTGTATATATATATATATATACATGTATACTTACATGCATATTATCTGTGCAGTTGGTGGAAGTGGAAACCCTGTTCAACCTTTCCTTCGCACATAGGTTCTACACTCAAAGGCTGACTGGATACACCCACGTATGAACCCTGGCTGCGTTGGCAGGCATGCGTTGCTGACAAGTTCCCCAATGAAGCAGGGATTTGTTGGTCAACCAGATCATAAACCATTCCTTCATACCAGGGCCATACCAAAGGTTGGCATCAGAGTTCGACCCTTGTACTACGCGCGCATGTTGGCCAAATCAATGCACCGTTGGCAGGAGTGGATAGGCATCTATTCAACTCTGGCGTTCCAGGCCTTCTCTCCACCTTCCAGCTGAATTTGAGCCAACAGCTGCACGACCAATCCTAATCAATCTGTGACGTCGGCCCAGGTCGGAAAGCAAAGACGCCCAATTCCAATCAAGCAACCAGGTAAGACTTTTCACACAAAGTTTGTGGGGAGCATGGCTCAAGAAGGTGCTCTTTGCGTAAGTATGCACAGCCCACTATGGCTCCTTTCCTGAGAGTGTCCTGTAAGCCGCAAGTCATTCAGGATGCATTTCATTGACAGACATGAACACTCCCAGGCATCAGCAGTGGGGCAAGGATTGGTGCCAATTCAAAAATTCGGACGCTTTGAGACACTTTAGGTCATCTGAAAAACGGGACAAAGTTCAGAAGTGAACGCGAGAGATGTGACTCTGCACCGGCTCCTGCACCGAATGCTGGCGTGAAGCAGTCTGTTACCTGTGAAAAACGTGTCCAGCTCTCGGCGCCAGCCTGGCACATGGGGCAGCGATATGGCCGAAGTCTTCCTCTGCAACCTGGAAAGCGGGTGAGCTCAGGCATGCAAACAAACAGAAAAACTGTCCTGTCATGACTGTCAGGTGTCAATCGGTCAATTTATGGCACTTCGGGGAATTGCCAGCATTGGCTGCTGATGATCCAAGCTCAATAGCAGCAAAAGAACGAGTTTAGTACGGGTGCCACAAATCCTTGAGCTGCCCCATCTTCGGCTGCAATGATTCCAAACTTACATCTTGATCACTTCTATGACAATTGTCTCACATCTTGATTGACATCAATGTGTGTGTGTGTCTTGCATCAGCCTTTCGTCACCTTTCGCTGTGCTGCTTTGCATCAAAGCCGCCAGTCTGCAACATGTCGAAAAAAAAATATTCTCAATCTTCATATGAGCCATGTTGTGCTATCTGCGCCTACAGCCGTTCCAATAGCAACACACGGCCAAACGCAGGAGACGCATCATTTGCATCATGAAGCTTCTTGTCGGCATCTTGTTCACATCTTTGGCTATAGTGCATCGCATCAACAGCGTCACCTGCTCACATTTATTGCACAACATAACTGGCATCAAGTGGAAGTGTGTGCGTGTGTGTGCCAGCTTTGTGGGAGACTTGAGTTGCCATGTTGTACATCGACGACCCACCAAAGCATAACCTCCCCACGATATGTGGCATTGTTAAGCCTCCTACGGCTTGTTTTGCCATTATGGGTATTGGCAGGCTCCATTTCAATTTTTGGGTGTCCATTTTCTGTTCATCCTGAGTTGGCGAAAAATGCATATTTGACCATGCCACTCGGGCCTGTGCCCGACAAGCCTGCTCATTGACAAATGAATATAATCCTCATTGCTTCATAAAGTGCCCACAATATCATCAATCATGTTCAATTACTTTCGCGACATTATAGCCATAACTGTGTGTTTTGTCTGCCGCAGCAGTGGCATCTTGCCCATGCATCATGCTCCTTGAACTTGAGCAGGTGGGGGCCGGACGAAAGCTAGCAAACATCAGAAGCAAGTGTCCTTTGTCCCCTGAAGAGACATACCCGTGTTGAGCCGAAACAAGCGTAAGAACCTGAATCAATTTTAGCTCCAATCCTACTCTTGCCAAGGCCCTTTTGGGAACAGTAGAACAATTTGTTCTATCAATTATTTTGGCCCAAATTATTGATGGAATCAATATGTAGGGATTCAGCCCATGCACTTGCTCGCAAGTAGAAACTACTGCGCTTGTGATTTGTGGAAGATGCCTTTCAAACAAACAGGAACACGCCGAAGCAGGAGCGCCTTCGCAAACGCAAAGATGCTGACAGGGGAGGAAAAGCACGGCCTGTCAGGCTGAAATCTGTACACATGAACTAGGTGCAAAGTCAATTAAATGTGGGTTCCAGCATATGCAACATTCCCGCACTAGCCTTCTTCGCATCCTTGCACACAGCACAGAGCTGCTGTTCCAGCCTGCAAAAGCCCCACAGCAACTCTCAAAATGCACCTGCTTCACTCCCAAACTCGGGTCACCGCTCATCCCGCAGATGGTGTCGCGCAGTGCGGGCTCTAGCCTGAGCCGGATTCCACAGCGCCAGTAGAAACAGGTTGGTTGCTCTCTTCAAAGGGTCTTCAGTATTGACAGACCATGGGGCCAAATAGACTCGGTCTTCCCCATAACTCGGTTGAGCAGTGAGTCATGACACAGTAAAGGGCAGCTCCTTCGTGAATGTGAACACGGTAGTTTTGGCAGCTGTTGTGTCTGTGCGTCTGTGTGCATTTAGGTGCCTTCCCAGTGTGGGATTCCCATGACCCTCCGTTTCCAGCTTTTTTGGGCAAGTGAGAAGCATCATGCTGAAACACCGATCCGTTCTGGTAGATTACTAATAAACAATAAACACTGTCCTATGCCCACACGAGGCACCCACCCGACACTCAGCCTGAAGTTCTGCAACGGCAGGTAAAGCGACCTGAACGGTTTGTGCTAGAAACATGCTTTGCTTGTATGAAGGCGGCACCTCGAGAACTTGTTCTATATCTTCGCAGCTCACTTCCAGCCTTGAAGCACAACGTGCAAGGAATTCCGGCCAGAGTCGGGTTATGATTCTAGCCCTGTGTGTCTGACGCATGCTTGTGATCGGCAAGCAGTTGCCATCGAGCAGCATCCTGCAAGAAAACTTTGAAGCAAAACATAGCCACATCACCATCCACGTGCCATCTCGTCAACAATCGAGGTACGCGGCACCAATTTCACCAGATGCCGGATTGAATATCCAGAGGCCGTGCCTTCCGCAAGCCACGTAGCTCATCCTCTTTGTGCGCCAGACCGGCTTGAAGATGAAGAACCTGTGCCCAGATCAATCGAACGCTGCTCAGCAATGGACATCTTGCCTGTGCGGCCAGTCGTTCAACTTCAGCCTCTTCCTGGCGAAGCCTAGGGCATTCCCTCTAACATCCGCAGTTCACAAGACCTGCGCGTGACAAATTCCAACTCTTTGCGTTGGAATCCTTTTTGAACCACTCCAAAAAAGCACCCCAAGTCTTGCTCATGCAGCAGGGACTCCCGCCGCTCTTGAAACTGCAGTGTCTGTCCCCATTCAGCGGCCTGGCAGCTGATGAACAGGCACAACTCTCGGATTGGCGCGTGATCATTCAGGTGCGTGTTGATGAACTCATGGGTATGCGTCGCTATTTCGGATGGGATCAAAAGTAACACGAAACCTTTGCTTTAACAAGTCCCCTTGTTTTGAGACATGGCTTGACAAGATACAGCAGCACACATGACAGGCAAACCATGATGCCATGGTGGTCTTGAAGTTGAAGGCGAAGTACCTGCAATTTGAATATGCTGATCGGTCTCAGCAACGTGCTGTCCTGCCTCGTTCTCCTTTTCAAGCCTCGGCAAATAGGTCAAGTTTGTGCACAACTTGCTTTAGGTCCCTGCTAGAACGTCTATATACTGTCTTGCGTCAACTACCCCACGGCACGACCCTCCCCAAGCCTCTGCTTCTCAGTCGAGATCTGCTCACGTTCGCGCTCCAACTCCTGCCAAGCCAACCAGGCTGAACAACAAAATTGGATACAAGCATCCGAATCTGATGTGCGAGTGGGAGTGTGACCGATCCAGCGCATCGAAAGCCAAAAGCCCTTCCTCCATCGAGGATGCCATGGCGTCGGCAGCCGCGCGGTCGGCTTTGCCGTTCCGACGCGCTTCTGCCAGCTCCTCAAGCAGTCAACAAACTTGAAACAAGACGCGCAGCCAACATGAGACAAGATTAGCCTCAGCAAGAACAAAAAAAATGTAGGTCTACTGTGCTCCTCGTTCAGTGCTTCTCTTTCAACTCGCCGTGCCTGCTTCAGCTGAAAAAAGCGGAGCACTTGGGTCTTGAGCAGGCGGCCTCCTCCTCATCCAGCATAAGCAGCGGTTCATCCTGGCAGCATTGAGCTTGGCAATCAGCAAAGGAAATCGCGCACTTCGCACAATTCCAAGTTTGTTCTGAGGCTAGGCTGCCAGCAATGGAGGCAGGCTGCGAAAGAAACACCTCGTAGGGGGAAGCACGGGCGGGCATGTGGAATCAAGCAGGGGCACCCCATGTGGCGATGGGTGGACTGTCCCCACAGGCGAACCGGGTGTGGGCGGACTGTGCCTCAAGCATGAATGAGCTGCCGTTTCCATCAGGTCAGACACAAGATTCAGACACCCTCGATGGCTCCACGGAAGAAGCCCTTGATGGCTCCGCGGAAGAAGCGCGGTCAATCCAATCCTGCAGCCAACGAATCGCACGGGCGACAAAACTAGCGAATGTTGAGTGCCATCTGCAAGATGGAGCCTCATCAATCAGCGCTGTGTCTACCTGACTGCAAGCTAGGATGTGAAAACACATGGATATTCTCAAGGTATTGTCTTATTTGCTTCTGAGGAAAGCTGTTTCAAAGGGTGTTCCTCTTTTTAAATCAGCTCAATACATGCCCATGTTCACCAGTTGCCTCCATCTTCTCTGACATGGCACTCCATCAGCGTGTATCTTGCTGAGAAAAGTGTACTACTGGGAAGATGTCGCTGCTGAGAAGGTATGCTCTGGGCAGTGACACGGCTAAACAAGCTAATGCAGTGGCAGTCCAAACACCCGGAAATAGACGAATTGCCACAACGCAGAGAAGACTGGCCAAACGTAGGCTCAGCAGCCCTCTCACTCTCTGTGCTGGCCCAAGAAGTCAGAAAACACGTGCAATGATGACAATGCTGACAAGATCAAAATGGGAATTTGAATCTTCCATGCGTGCCCCAAAGCAACAGAGTAAAAGAATGCAGCTGATTGACTTGTCATTTGTGAGACCTTGCCATAAGCGCGAGGACGGGGCTGGAATGGCAGCGACAGTCGCGCAGGAAAGCTATGGTTGAGACTCCGCTCTGCTTTGCCAAGGTTGCAAGATCCGAACAACTGCTTGAATGATGCCTGCCACATGTACCACAAAGCAAACCGCACCTGCAGATCTTCAACTGCCAGCAGCTGTTTCAGCAAGATAATTTTTGACGCTAGCCGTCCATGATTTCTAGACAGCCTGAGCTCAGAAATAATTACAAACACGCCTGTACACTGCAAACTGATCAGCGAGCAGAATGGCACTGACCTCCGTACTGAAAGAATCACCCACAGCTCCACTCAGTTCCCACACTGCACTATCCTGACCCTCCCAGCTCGACTGAGCCCCGGACGTGCCGAACGTAATCGCAATTTTAACCGCCGTACCCACCAACTATTGGACCATTAAAAGCCGTTCTGAACCCAATTCCAAACCAACCCTGACACTACTAAACCCAACCTGTAGCTATCTTACCAAACCCAATCCTCAACCTACCCTACACACCTACTACAAAAAAGAAAGCCAAGACTACACAAACCTCAACCAACTCTCAAAAACAAAACACTCGACCTACCCGGCTCTATCTTGAGGTAAGCCTAAATTCATGAGGCCAGCATGCGAAAATGGCTTTCCGACCTCTTCTGCCTGTGGACCGATCCAGTGAAGTTGTAGCCACACATCCGCTGCGGTACCGTGGGGGCATGGGCAAGCTTCTCAGGGCGCCACGCGAGCCTCGCAGTGAGTCACCTTCGCAGTTTGCACAAGTGTTCCAAATCAAGGCAAGCGGAGTTCTGGTTCCCCTGGGTGTCCTTTTAGGGGAAAGGCCCCGGTAGATGATTAAACCACCAGGAAAACCAGCACCATGTTTCAACCAAAACAACCAAAAAGGACACCTATGCTGGTTCCTGTATGTGTCATTCTCCCTTGTGACTTCTCTCTACCTGTCTCACAGCCTGCGCTCCTTGAGCCTCAAGCATTGAAGGTCACACAATCAACCGCACCTGCTGCCAGTGGCTGGCGAAGGCTTCCACTGGAAACCTTGCCAGATTATCACTTGGCTGTGGGTCAAAAATGCGCACCCAAAATTGAACCCTGATAAATCGGACCAAAAACTAAAACCTGCGGTCCCCTGGTGGGTTGATTTTGACCCATACCCACTTCACCTCTCTCAGTCTCTCTCTCTCTCTCTCTCTCTCTCTCTCTCTCTCTCTCCGTTCGACATCAGTCAGATCAAGCTCAGCTGGCCCAATGCACCACTGAACTCTAATCTGAGAGAGTCACTCTCCTTGGTTCTGTTCCCATCCGCCTGTGATGTTCAAGAGGCATCATTGCCACCAATTCAAGACCAGAACTGTGCAACAAACAAGCCGGCGTCGCGGTTTCTCCGATTCTGGGGGTCCAGCACGGCCTCCAAAATTGGATGTCGTCTGAGCTGTATCTCTGGAAGCTAGCCACGCTTGATACTGCCTCCACTTAGAGACTTTGCTCGCGCCAAGATGTTGCCTCCGAAAACTCCCTCTGGCATCGGGAGTTTGGTCTCGGAGGAGGGTAGGTGAGGCATCTCAACCTTCAGGCCATCTCTTTGCGCGGTCTATGCCCGTGCGACGCGCAATCATGTCCACACAAATCAGGCGCCTCAGTACCAACATGTGAACTTCTGGTTGCTTGCTCCTGGGCTCCATCCCATGTGAGCATAGACACGCTGTTTACTGGCTTGTGCTGCTTAGTGATAAGGAAGGTACCTCGTACCAGGCAGAGAAACTGGACGAGTCTGAGAAGTTCCAGCCCTGCAAGATTCTTGGATGCTCAATGGATCGAGTGACATGAATGGGCCTCCTTGAAGTTTTTGAAAGTAAAGGGGCTAGATAGCTCCTTTTCCACCTGGCGCGCATAAGGCCAAGAACCGCGTCGTTGCATGCGCGTCTTGGCCTCATGAAAGCTTGGAGCTTGCCGAAGCCAAGGATACAAACACCTCTGCAAAGGCATTCGCACGCGAAAGCGCACGAAAAGCACCACGACCTGCCGGCCTGGCATCAGGGGCTGCATGGGAAAGCCGGGATTCGATCTCGTAGAACCACCAGTCCAGTGCTTCAACATCACCTCGCCCAATTTCGAGACTAGGCCAGGACATCCTAGCATGCGAGCATGGCAAAGGCGAAAAACGGACCGAACGCACCCAGTCAGCATCACAAGACCCAAGTCGAACCGAAAAGTGGCAGTCCTCATTGCGGACAGGTTCCTCGGAGCTGACCTTGGGGTGCCCTGCGAGTGCCTCGCACTTCCTGCAAGTGAATTGATTCCGCACATGGATGGCTCGTCCTTTTTGAGTGGTTTTGAAGGGAGCCAGCCTGTGCTGCCCTTGCCGCCCTTGCGCAAACCAAGCTCTCCCTCACGGCGCCAAACTGTTCACATGTCTGAGCACGGTGCCAGACGCAGCGGAGCAACTGGAGGCCTCTGGGGCTGACCCGCAAAAGCACCACGCTTCGAGCTCAGAAAACTTACTTCGCTTGGAGCAATCCCCACCCTCCACACACACGAGCTTACGACCGTTACAACAAATTCCTCCGCCGGGCGGGACACTAAGGGACACTAAGCAAAACCAGACTGGCGAGCTGCTCTGGCGAAATACTGGCGGGATCCACTCGGATACTCGGCGGGATACTCGGTGGGATCCACTGGCGGGCTGCTCTGGTGTGGAGACTCGGCGGGGATCCACTGGCGAGCTACTCTGGCGGCATACTCGGCGGGATCCACTGGCGAGCTACTCTGGGATATCAGCGGGATACTCCCACTAACGGGCTGCTCTGGTGGGATCCACTGGCTGGTGGAATACTTGGCGGGAGCGAGCTACTCTGGGACACTCAGGCGGGATACTCGCGGGATCCACTGACGGGCTGCTCTGGTGGGATTCTCGGCGGGATGGGCGGGATGCACTGGCGGACTGCTCTGGTGGGATTCTGGCCAGGATCCGCTGGCGAGCCGCTCTGGCGGGATACTACTGGGCGGGATCCACCAGCCTGCTCGGCGGGATCCACCGGCCTGCTCGGCGGGGTCCGCTCTGGCGGGATACTCGGCGGGATCCACTGGAGAGCCGCTCTGGCGGGACACTCAGCGGGATCCGCTGGCGAGCAGCTCTGGCGGGAGATACTCGGAGGGATCCACTGGCGAGGATACTGGGTGGGGGCGTGGTGTAGAAGCATCGCAAACACGGATTCCAACATAAAATCTAACAACCCCTTCCTGTCGGGTGGGAAAAAATACATTAAATGCCCCAAGCTGCACGATTGTCAGCAGATCGCAGCAGCAACTTTGGAGGCACACGCAAACTGTCTAATGTGTATAGCCCACTGCGCAAACAAAACGGAGTGCTTGGCGCCTGTGAAACGCCTTCGTCTCATCTACAGTCGAAGGCCTTGGTGCAAATCTTGTCATCCCAACTCTGTGCACATACCGGGCGCACTTTGCCGACTCACGTAATGGCCAGGAGATCGCAGGCGCCTACCGAAAGTGCCATTCATGTTTGCAAACTGGATTCCATGTCAAGCCTTCTGCCCTCTCGTTTCCTGGCCGAAATATCGATGGTGGCTGACAGTTGCATGTTGACTGCACGTGGCATTCGTCAAAACAAAACCATGTGCGACCAGGATGCTCCCGAGGCTGTATACCTTGGCGGGCGGAATGCAAAACAAGTTCCAAAACAGGTAGCAGCGCAATGAGAGTGAGTTGACTTCGAGTCTGCTGTGAACTTACGCAGCGCCTGCTTCGGATTTTGTGGCCCCGAACAAGTTGGGCCTGTTGCCTGTCTTCAACATGTTTTGCAGCACGCAGCATCAAATGAGTGCAAGGCTTCCATGCAGATGACCACAGCATTGCAACACAATCCTGGCAAAAAAATCACAGTGTTTGGGGTCAGCTCATGCACAGCACAGGCCAGCCTTTGCTTGAGGTATTTAGCATGATCTAAATCTAAAAACAAAAGTCTTCCATTGCTCCTCTTGTTTGCACATTTGTGTTTTGCAGAATGTGTCATATGCATGCAACTCCTGTTGGCACATGCTCACTGACAATCTAAGCTGGAACCTGTCATAGCTTCAAACACTTGTGGGCGAAGCCATTCTTGCAGACGGCATGCACTTGGTTTGCCAAAAAACACAGCAAAGTCAACATTATACACAACTCTCATCCCCACATCATCAATACTCACGTCTCGCAAAGCACACAACCCCGCATGTCAAAAATAATACCCGTGTGATGCGAGAAAAATGTTTCAATCACCGCAGGAAAGGTGGTCCGGTGCCGTCCCTGCATTCGAACCTGGGTACAGCCAGGAGCAGCCGCACAATGGTTTCATACGCACACAAGTTCCACTCAACTCCAATGAGAGCAAACCAATACGCAATTGTCGCGAAGCCAAAAAATGTGAAATGGCAGCACATATAATGCGTCCAACTCATTCACGCAATGCCTGTGCAAACACATCCCCGCGAATCTCAAAAAAATCACGATCGCATGCACAAAAGTACGGCCATTCCCTTTTGCAAATGGAGTATGAGCCGAGGGCAACATGCCACACCGCAAGCGTGCTGCTGCTAGCAACCGTGAAAGCGAACAACCACCAACAACAAACAAAACGCAAAAAGAAAAGTTTTTACTGGGAAAACAAAAACAAAACCAACAAAAACAATTAACTTTCCAGGGAGCGCAAGCAACAGAAGAACCAAAAGAACCATGCGAACCTCGTTTGCTTTTCATTTCTGGGTCTTTGAAGCAATTGACACGCACATATTCCTGGACAACTATTCACAGTTCCACGCGTTGCTTGTCATTCCTGTTCGCAGGGAGAAGACTTGTAGTCAGTGGAAATCGACAATTAGTTCGGGCAAGACTGACAAAACAAAGGAATCGACAAAAGTCTTTTTGGCGAAAATTCCAGCAAATCGATTGGCGATGTTCTCCGTTTCACTGCCATTTCCTTCAATCCGGTGGGTGACATTCCTGGCTACTTTCAAAATGTATTCCAATTGATTTTCTTAGTGCTGCAGTGGGCGGTGGGTCTGTTTGCGGAGCCAGTCTTGCCAGCTTCAGCCAGGGCAGGGTGCCGTTGGAGACCAACGAGTCTTCTGCGATCCTGTGGGCGATACCAAATCTGGCGGTCAGTTCGATCACCCGCCCTGGCTGAGGTCGCGCAGCCTTGAATGCAACCCGAATCAAAAGAGCACCATGTTTGAGCAGCTTGGTTTTCAAGAATTTTGATGTTTTGAGTGGGAGCAGCGCATTTGTTTTGGGAGAAGCGCTTTGGGTGCTTTGCGTGCTTGAGCGTGGACAACGCCATTCTTCCCCAAGGTGGAGGCAGAGTAGAAAAAAACGCATCCATAGCACCGACCCTCTCTCTCTAGAGGTGCATTGTAACGCAGTTACGGGGCTTCTGACACTCGTCCGTCTCGTCCGCTGAGACTTTTGAAGAAATTCTGCAGGAAGCCTTGGGGCTGCACTGTAACGACCCCTCAATATGCTTGCAATTTGCCTTCTCGTTGCGTTTCTGCAAGCCGAGCTGTTGAGGGCTCCAAAAAAGTGTAAATATATACATATATATATATATAAAAAGGAGGGAGAGCCAGCCAAACCAGCCAAACCAGAGCCAGAGCCAAACCAGAGCCAGAGCCAGCCAAACCAGAGCCAAGCCAGAGCCAGCCAAACCAGAGCAGCCAAGCAGAGCCAGCCAAACCAGAGCCAGCTAAAGTCAGCCAGAGCCAAGCCAAAGGGAGCTCGGCTTGCAGAAACGCAACAAGAAGCATTGACTGCGCATATTGGGGGATCGTTATAGTGAAGCTCGGAGGCTTCCTGCAGCCTTAGCTTTCAAAAGTCTTGGCGGACGAGGTCATTTCCTGGACGGACAAGTGTCAGAAGCCCCGTGCGTTACAATGCGTTTGGAGGAACCCCTCGGGTAGAGACCAGCAAACTGGAGCTCGTTCCTGGTCTGGCGAGTGTGAGGCCCCGTAGCTGCGGAATCTTTTCCGAGACTCAGTGAATGCAAAGTGTTTTTGTAGAACTGGAGCGGGCCACAGGATTCTGCGCAGCCCGCCGCTGCCGCCCCACTGCCTTGCCACTGCCGCCCCACTGCCTTGCCACTGCCGCCCCACTGCCGTTCCGGGCGCGCGCCGGGCGCGGGCCACGTGCGGGCCATTTTCCTCTTGGTCCTGCGAACTCAATCCTGCGCGCGGGCCACACACAGGATTCCGCGTAGCCCGGCGCCGACTGCGCGCCGGGTGCGTGCCGGGCGCGTGGCGAGGGCCGGGTGCGCGCCGGGCGCGTGCCGGGCACGCGCCGGGCGCGTGCCGGGCGCGTGTCTGGCGCGGGCCGGCTCTGCGACGCCTCCCGTCTTCCCACGCTTTGCACCGGCTGCCGGGCTTGCAGATCGCTCGACTTGGCCTCAAGCACACGCTGGTCCACAGGTGGGTCTGCTTCCTGTACGGAGTTCCATTGCAGTATGTCACTTCCACCCAGGGCAGGCGTTCCATGAATGGACGGGTCTTTCAGCAATCCGGTGGCTGGATTCAGGCGGCGCAGATCAGGCAATCTTGCAGGGTGACTGACATCGGCTTGGTCGGACCAGTTTTTCCCGAAAGCATCGCGAAGGGTTCTTCCGCGGAGCTCTTGGACCAACTTGCATAGAGTCACTTGCGCAGAGTCAAATACACAGAGCCAAGCGCATAAAGCCGTGCATAGAGCCAAGTGCGTAGAGCCAAGTGCATAGAGCCAAGCGCATGGAGCCAAGTGCGTAGAGCCAAGCGCAAACAGAGCCAAGTGCGTAGAGCCCAGCGCACAGAGCCAAGTGCACAGCTATGTCAGTTAAGAATAGGTTTCTAGGGCGCCGCAGGGTCAAGGTGCCAAAACTAGAGGGAATCGGCGTGGTCGAGGTACAAAAATTTGATTTCTGATCTATCCGCGCGACCCTCTGCGGGGATCGGCGTGGTCGAGCGGTGCAAAAACTCGAGGTTTTTTGCGGCGCGCGGATGAACCCTCTGCGGGGATCGCGCGCGTCGACGCGCTCTCGCTGCAGCGCCGTGCGAACTCGTTTTAGTCTCGGCGAACCCTTTGCGGAGATCGTGCGTGTCGAAGCGCTCTTGCTGCGGCGCCGTGCGATTTCATTACTCGCGAAATGGCCTTTTGGAAGTTGTCTCCTGGTTTGCGCGCCTGCTTTCGCAATCGCGCGGTCGCGGGTTCGAGCTCAAGCAAAGAAGCCGTAGTATGTGGAGTGTACTCCTGGCGGCTCCGAGCGGCAAATCGCAACCCTGACGTGCAGGCATATGGCGCGGAGCAGCTCCACAGCTCAGCTCAGGCCGAGCATCTTGCGCACAGGTACAAGCACCGAGCGTCTTGCGGAGAGAAACTTGTCACAGAGCAACGTGCACAGAACAGCTTGAAAACGTCAAGTACCCCATCCTGTCGGTTACTCGACTACTTGATCGAGGATTTCAACTACGACTCGCTCCAGAAGCTACGACTCTGAGGAGTGACACCTTCCAAGCAGCACCACATAGAGACAGCAACCTTCTCTATTTGGCAATTGAGCAGCAGAACTACAATCAATGAATCAAGGAACGGTGCTCTGCGCAGCACGCAATGGTGACGGACAAGTACGTGGACTAAAGCGCCTACATCTCAGACAAGTGCTTGAGCACGATCTATCATGGGCGGTACATCATCCGAGTCCACAAAAGGAAGCGTCGAGCGAAATTTACGCCTGAAGGTACTCAATGTCCTGTACCTACGGACCAACTTGACTCTTGGAGGAAGACTACTGTTCGCAGAACTGGTGAGGATGAGAAGCACTCCTTCGACAACTACCCGGATGTGACCAAGAAGGAGAAAAATGAACTGGTACCAGGATTGGTGAAACTACCTTCCGACAAAGTCTGCACCTACAGCATCTCCTCATCGCTCACAACCACCTGCTGCAGAATCGGGTGCTCCCACGAAGAGGTACAACGTCAAGACTACTCCAATTCCAACTCCAAAGTCCCAACCACCAATGGGACAACCTCCTACAGAACCAGATCGTCATCCACTACTTCCACCACGAGAAGCTCAACGTGGAGACTACTGGGAGCATACAGGTGAAAGATGGATACGACATCACGTCCTACCAAGAACACGGATGTTTGTTCCTACTGATGGACCCGGCGATCCACCACTACACAGCTTGGAGCCATATCGCACTACCATTGCTACAGATACCACCACTGACGAGGTACATCAGATCAGAGGACTACGCTGGAGATGTGCAATCAGGACCACCAGGACCAGATGCTGAGATACTTCAAGAAGCACTACCAGCACGAGGCAAGAGATCACCAAATACACCGTCTGACTACGAGATTGCCGAACATTGCCTCACACACCTACCCTACCGAAGTTGGTGTGAGATCTGCGTGAGATACAAAGAAAAACAGGACGCCTACAAGAAGAATGTCTCCAGGCAGCCAGTCATACAGGTTGACTTTGCCTACTTCACTACCACTACGGACGCTGAATCGATGGCAGTGATGACGGCGGTTGACACACAGACCCAAATGTGTATGGCTGTCACTGTACCAGACAAATCTACGCACATCGAGTACATGACCAACAGTCTTCGTTCCTTCGTCCTAGAGTGCGGACGTACAAACGGCATCCTGCAGTCCGACAATGAGCCTACATTGAAGAGCGTGATCAACGATATGGCAGCTAAGGTTGGCAACATGACTACTAGAGCTGCACCAAACTACTCTTCAAACAGCCAAGGTTCAGCGGAAAGATTCCACCGTACGCTCTTTGGGCAAGTCAAAGCTCTATGTGAACAACTGCAATCCGTCTACAAGGTGACGGTCAACAACAATCACCCACTACTACCTTGGATGGTGAGACATGCCGCCTGGATCCTCAATCGCTACTTGGTGCACTCCGATGGGCTCACGTCCTACCAGAG